CTAATACCGTAGTTACGGTCTGTAGTCTGCACGCACAAATGGTCTGTACGATGTACGAAGTTCATGAGAAATCGTTTCCTGGTATGGGCGGTTATCGTGTGCTCTGCAACTTCGTGGGAAGAACCCCTTCACGCGCAAATCACGAGCTGTCTCCTTCGTGCTGATGAGCCTTGGTGGAGATGTGAGCGACCAGGAAGTCTCCAGCTCGCTCCGTCCGCCCGCCCCTTTATTCTGTGTTACCTTAGTCTTTTCTCTTCTCTTGTTTTATCTGTCTCTCTCCTCTGTATCTTGTCTGTGTCTCTGTGTGACTGTACTTCTCTTTCTCTCTCTCTCTCTCTCTCTCTCTCTCTCTCTCTCTCTCTCTCTCACTTTCCCTATCCTCTCTCTCACCCTTGGCCCCCCCTCTTTCTTTCTCTTTATGCCCCCCCCCCCTTTGAGTGGTTGGCGGGTACTCTGGTGTGGTTTGCTCCTTCATTCCTATTAAACATCTATTGTCCTTTTCTCCCCTCCTTATCTCCTATCCTTCTGTTTTTTGTGGTTGTTACTCTCTTGTAACATCTCTCATCTTCGGCACTTATATGACCTTATTGGGTTGCAAGTGCCGTAAAACACTTACTAAAACTAAAACATCTACATTGTCTTTATCTCTCCTCCTTTTTTTGTTTTTGATACTCTCTTGTAATATTTCTAGTGCTCGGCACTTCTATCTATGATCCATTTGTATAATCTGCTTACTTAAATTACTTCTTTTTTTTACTTGTACCACCTCGGCACTCTATGACCTAATTGTGTTACAGGTGCCGTAAAACTCTTACTATGATAAGTGTGCATAACACAACTTTTAAAGTTACCACCCAAACGTGGGTGGATTCCAAAAACGGTTGTAAGTATAAGAAAAAAAAATATGTTAATTGCATGTATGCGTGTGTGTGCGTGAGAGAGGGGGGAACAGAGGGGATGGGGGGATGCAAGATATGAAGGGTGAATCGGAATGCTATATTCTTGGAACAGTATCCGGAGCCTGACGCGGTTCTATTTCGACCTCAATGCTTCCTTAATGCCGCGCGAAAGGTCAAAAGACCCCCAGTCCAATGTGTGGTACGAAATTTTTTTTTCCTTTCTGAAACTGATCATCTGCTTAGGCCAGTGTGTCTTCATGTGTATGTATATAAATGTGTGTGTGTGTGTGTGTGCGTGCGTGCGTGCGTGCGTGTGTGTGTGTGCGTGTGTGTGTATGTGTGTGTACGTGCGTGTGTGCGTGCTTGTGTTTGTGTGACTGAAAAATTCGGTGCCCACAGTATACTGTGAGAGTCAAACCGACACCACCACCTAAGAAGCCCTAACCCGGAGCTTTGCCCTTTCCCCGTATCTCTGTAACCGTGTAATATTATGGCGTCTATTGTGAAAGCTGTCATGGTATACGTTGATACCTTGAAAGTCCGGTGTTATTTTCAGTAAACAGAGTACACGCACGTATAGACATGACTGGCCTTTCCTTGTCCTCAAATCCATTACTACGTCACGTTTTTGGTGTTGGCTGGGCTGTGTTCAGTGTTGACCTTGTTTTGGTTCTGCTCCTTACTCAGTTTGAAGTCGGATATTGTTGCTTATCTCAGGGGGAGGGGGTTGGGTTTTTTGGGGTCTTGTTTTGTTTTTTTAATTCTCATAGTAGATCTGAGTTTTTTGTTTTTGTTTTTTGCCCTTTTTTTTTCGAAGTTTTAGTACGACTGTACTTGTTTCACTCATTCTTAAAAGGTGTCGCAAAGTTCCTACTGTGGATGGTTGGCGGGTGCTGTGTTGTGACTTGCTCTTTCTTTCCTGTCAAAAAATCAGTTGCCCTTATCTCTCCTCCTCCTCATGTTTCATGCTTGTTACCTCCTGCAACACCTCTAATTGTCGGAACTTACATGGCCTGATTGTGTTGCAGTGCCGTAAAGCTCTTACTAAAACAAGAAAAGCAACAAACACGTCCCTTCCTCTATTATGACAGGCATGAAGCGAGTTAATTGTTTTCAGGGCGGCCTGTTGGATTATAAACTAGTCCACTGTTTCTGCCAGTGGGAACGCTATTTTCCTTCCCAACAGCTGACCTTTTGTGTGTGTGTGTGTGTGTGTGTGTGTGTGTGTGTGTGTGTGTGTGTGTGTGTGTAGGTGGGTGGGTGGGTGAGTGAGAGACAGAGAGAGAGAGAGACGAAGAGAGAGAGAAAGAGAGAGAGAGAGAGAGAGGGGGGGGGAGGCATCTTTTCTGCGTACTTTTTATGTCTTCTGTCATGTTCCAATTTTCAATGCCTATGTGTGCTCATTCTGGTAAAAAGAAAAAGACCCTGCCATAACCCACTGCTAAGGACTCGCTTTAGGAATAACTTTTCTATCTTTTATGGCATTATACTCTTACACGACACACCCCCCCAAAAGTCAACTGTTTTTCAAACAGACCGTGTGTTTTGGATATAATAGTAGACTTTTTCCTTAATTCTAGTAAAAGATTTTCTGGCCTTTATCTCTCATAGCAGTTTCGTATTGCTGTTCCAGCTCTTGAGTAAATGTCCGTCATAAACCTGTCAGTGCTCTTCTTTTTGACTAAAGGGATGAGACAAGCACTGTCCCCCTAGCGTCCCCTGTCTGCAGTCAAACACGGCGACAAGATCTGTTGTTTTAAGACTCCCCTGCTCCTATAAAATCGTTGTACCTTTGTGACGTTATGACTGTAACATAATCCTCTTCAGTCAAACATAGTGGTGGGTAGTTGGCGGGTTCTCTGGTGTGGTTTGCTATTTCTTTCCTATCAAACATTTACGTCTTTATATCCCCTCTTTCTTTTTTTGTGGTTTTTACTCTCTTGTAACACCTCTAATATTCCGCACTTTTATGACCTTGTTGTGTTGCTAGTACGGTAAAACTCTTACTAAAACTAAAACAAAACTCAGTGATACGATTTTTTTTTCTGCCAGTGGTAAGAGCACACCACTGGTAGGTCTACTTTTTGTTTGTCATACTCTTTTCCCGGCACAAATATACGACCATTATTGTGTCGATGTGCTCCTCCTTACTGAAACGAACAAACAAACAAAATTTTCTTTTTAAGACTCCCCTGCTACTATAAAATTGCTGTACCTTCGTGACTCTGTGACTAATCCATGCGGTTTTTTTTGTGTGTGCCCATCCTCAGACGAGAACGAAGATCAAGTGTACGCCAAGTTCATGAGAGCCCACAAATGCTATGACCTCATCCCCACCAGTGCCAAGCTCGTCATTTTTGATACACAGTTAAACGTAAGTATACAGTCGACATTTGTTTTAATTTGAGGGTGGGGGG